GGGAAACCCGCAAGCAGGACCCGAGTGCAGGAGCACTCTCCGTTCCTGCTGTTTTCAGCAACTAGTATTCAGAAGCATTCTGCCTCCAGCCATGGAGACAGAGCATACCCGCCCCAGCTAGTTGCCACTGATAGCCATGAATCTTAAAGTCAACCAAGTTGGTAGCCATCACTGCCTCTTGTGGGAACGAGTTCCACACCTATGAGTTGTGTGAACAAATACTTTGGTTTTTTGTCCTAAACATTCAGCTTCAGTTGATGTTCATGAGTTTTTGCATCATGAGAAAGTGAGAAGTGATTAAGGTCGTCTCATAAACCTCATCTTAATCCAACAGTCATGAGCCATCTCCTATTTATTTTGTAAGTTGGTCAGTCAATAAAGCATTCAATATCTTTACTGTGGTCAATGACCAGTATTGGTCAGTCAAATTTGTTAGGAATCATTTGTCATCACAAAGAATACAGTGTAGAAGTATGCTTAGCACAGGAGGTCTCCAGCAGATGGGACAATGGAATTCTGTCTGATCTGTAGAGCTGCTAAGACAAACATATATCTCTTGTATCCCATCTGTAAGCAAATAACAGATTGCCCCCCTCTATGTTTTGCAAGCTGTAAGTGAGGTACAGAGAAAGCCAGCACCTTAATATATATTAACCTGCATCTAGGACCCACACCAGGAAATGAAGGTAGATTTCCCAAACATTATTCAGGCTCCCAGATTCTCTTCTACATATTATACAAGCAGTGACAGACAAGCTAACAATGGGCTATATCAATCGTGAAATTTGAAAGTCTCTACTTTAAAACATATCTAAGTCTATAATTTTCTACTGGTTGCCACTTCCATGTTGTTTAAAGAGGGGAGATGCCAATATGTAGACAATATGTAGAAGCTGTCATATCACACTCCCAAGTCAGAAGTCTGTCTACTCGTAAGCAAGCCCTACTGAGCTCAATGGCACTTGCGCCAAAGTGTACAAAGGATAGCAGCCAGAGAAATGGATGAGAATTTAATTTTTGTTCCTTATGATACAGAGTAGACCAACGGAATATGTGGCACAATTTTCTTGTTTAGACCCAGATGCTGAAAAAATTGAGGTACCGTATTTTTCGCTCTATAACACGCAGATTTTTTCTCCTAAAAAGGAAGGGGAAATGTCTGTGCGTGTTATAGAGTGAATGTGTGGTCCCTGGAGCCAAAAAATCAAGCAAAAGTCAAACCGCGAGTCACGGAGAAGGGAAACCTGAAAAGAGGAAGCGGCAGCTTTCCTGCATTCTGCCTCAGGGTCTTACTGCCCCCCCTCCTCTGTTTCGTTGCTGTGATTGCTGAAACGGAACAAAGAGCAGGGAAAGCCCCTCCCCTCCAGGCAAGCAGAGGGGAAAGTGTCGTCTCTGTGCTCCGGTACTGCTGGGGGAGAGGGAGAGAGAGTGGGGGAGGGAGAGGGAGAGGGGGGAGGAGAGGGAGAGAGGGGGGAGGGAGGGAGGGAGGGAGAGAGAGAGAGAGAGAGAGAGAGAGAGAGATGGCTGGCTTGGGGGGGGGAACTTTTGCCTTTCTTTCCTCCCACCCCAAATCCCTCTCCAGCATTCTTAGCCAGCTGCTTCTCTGCACACCCCTCTCATGTCCCTTCTTTGTTTTTCCTTCGCTCCCCACTTAAAATGTGGTTACAAAGCATAGATCAACATGGATCCTCAGGATCTTTGCATTGGGTCACCCCAAATTCACCATCAGATCACATAGCATGTCCATGGCTACAGCCTGCACCAAAAAAATCACGCACCCACTGTTGCCTGGGGCTGCAATGGTGCAAAAACGTGGTTAAAAAGCATGGATCCACATGGATCCTCAGGATCTTTGCATTGGGTCACCCCAAATTCACCATCAGATCACATAGCATGTCCATGGCTACAGCCTGCACCAAAAAAAGCACGCACCCACTGTTGCCTGGGGCTGCAATGGTGCAAAAATGTGGTTACAAAGCATGGATCCACAGGGATTCTCAGGATCTTTGCATTGGGTCACCCCAAATTCACCATCAGATCACATAGCATGTCCATGGCTACAGCCTGCACCAAAAAAAGCACGCACCCACTGTTGCCTGGGGCTGCAATGGTGCAAAAATGTGGTTACAAAGCATGGATCCACAGGGATTCTCAGGATCTTTGCATTGGGTCACCCCAAATTCACCATCAGATCACATGTCTGTGGCCACAGCATGAAGCACAAAAATGATACATCCACTGTTTCATTCAGAATGTTTTTTCCCTTGTTTTCCTCCTCTAAAAACGATGTGCGTGTTATGGTCAGGTGCGTGTTATAGAGCGAAAAATACGGTAATTTTAATATTTGTATGTTCTAAAGTATGACTGTATTTTTAATTGATTTTCTTGTTTTATCTTTTCATAAACTGCTTTGAGGTGGTTTTTTTATTTTTACAATCAAGCAGTGTATAAATTTTATGAAAAAAATACTGATCAGTGCATTTTATTTCATATAATCCAATATCAAGATATTTTTACTCAATACTGGACCTATAAAATGGCAGAATTCAATATAATTTACGGATATAATTTAAGGGAATATATTTGAAGCAACTTGTGTGCTGAATTTATAAGCAGAATAAGTTTTGACAGGAGAAACAATTCCATACATCAAAGTTTGCTTTTTGCCATATTGATGAACTCTATGAAATAGTTCTCAACTGAAGAATTCCAGTTATCAAGATCATACGGAACTTCAAATGTTGGTTTTTCTCTAAAAATTGCAAGAGCAAGGAATACTACAAAGTGTGCTGTGAGTCCCCATATTCGAAATGAAGTATTGCGTTCCGAGTCATCATATTCAAAAGAATGCAATAAATAATCAATATTGCCCATCTTTTTGGGAATGCCTGTGTACTTTAAAGGCCTAATAAAATACTCCAATGGTACTGAAAACACATCACTGACTTCTTCTGGATTAAGACGGGCTTGGAATGTATCCTCTATGAAGGCGACAACTGGAGTTACTAAAGAACGAGTCTGAAAAGGAAAAAAAAAAAGGTTTGGCTCTTTATAGCAACTAAAAGTCAGGGCAAAACACTACAAATATCAGCGGAAAACAGGGGTTACCAGTTTGCCTCCAGATACTGCACCAAAACTCCCATCAGCCATAAAAAAAAATTAATTATTAAATAGCCACTGGCCATGCTTGCTGGGACGTGGGTGGCGCTGTGGGTAAAAGCCTCAGCGCCTAGGACTTGCCGATTGAAAGGTCGGCGGTTCGAATCCCCGTGGCAGGGTGCGCTCCCGTTGCTCGGTCCCAGCGCCTGCCAACCTAGCAGTTCGAAAGCACTCCTGGGTGCAAGTAGATAAATAGGGACCGCTTACTAGCGGGAAGGTAAACGGCGTTTCCGTGTGCAGCTCTGGCTCGCCAGAGCAGCGATGTCACGCTGGCCACATGACCCGGAAGTGTCTCTGGACAGCGCTGGCCCCTGGCCTCTTAAGTGAGATGGGCACACAACCCTAGAGTCTGTCAAGACTGGCCCGTATGGGCAGGGGTACCTTTACCTTTACCTTTTATGCTTGCTGAGGCAACATGTAGAGCTCAAGTGGTTTTAGAGTGCTGTGGTCGGTTTGGCTGCACTGGGTGACATGTTGCAGGGGGGCTCTACAACAATGCTGCAGAATGGAGTATGGGAGGGGGACACACTGAATTTTAGCATTGCAAAGGGCACCACTGAAATTTGAGAGCCCAAATTCCACCACATGGTGCACTGTGGGGCACACCATATTGGCTACCTGTGCAGATTCAGAGACTCTCTCCTAAACCCTAACCAGAGAGGTCAGTTAACAGAACTGATCTGCCCAGAGTGGCAGGGGCAACCCAGTCAGATGGTCAGAGTACAGATAATAAAATTCTTATTACTGTTACTATAATCCAACCCCAAGTTGGATGGAGCAGCAAAAGAATAAGAGCTTATAGGAGAAATCTAAAGAGTAATGTAAGTTAAGTGCAGGAAGGAAGGAGCAGAAGAACTGGACTGGACCCAGGGTCAGAGATAAATAGGTACCCATGCTTGCAAGTGCCTTATACTTTATCTAAATACACTTTACTTTATCTATTACAGGTAGAAGCCTACAGATGACTTCAACCTGTTCAGGATGGAGCCCCACTTCTTCCTTGGCTTCACGGAGAGCTGTTGCTATTTCATCTCTGTCTGTTGGGTCACTTCTACCTCCTGGAAAACACACCTCTCCTGGGGATCTTCTCAGCTAGGATTTGGAAGAACAGCCTTGTTAAGTAATTATTTTAAGCGACAAAAATATGATCTAGAAGACAGTTCTTAACATATCAGGATTCCCCATTTTTTCATTAAACAACTTGTACGTTACAAGTCATACGTTACCGTCTTCTATATGGTTCTCAATCTCTCTGCATAAAAACCTATGTTGGCAATAGTTTGCAACTGATATTTTGCATGCATACTAGATTAATGAATTTATTCAACTGTTACACTATACATTGTTATGCATGGAAGATTAAATTCTGCAAGGAAGGAGAGATATAAAATTGCAGAGACGGAAGGGCAAATTTTTAAACCCTTATGATTTCCAATTTTTGAAATATTTGTACCTCCAAGAATTGTAAAGAATCATGCATGGAATAGAGAAAATGGGTAGAAAAAAGATGGGCACTGGTCTGATCCAGCTATTCTTACATACAATTGAGAGATTTGACTACCTCAGGGGTCTGCAACCCGCGGCTCTGGAGCTGCATGTGGCTCTTTTACACCTTTTACACTTTTACATCCGCTCCAGGGCGGATACTAGTGAGGGGAGGAGGCGCATTGTGCGCCCCGACACTCCCCACTGTGGCGGGCACTGTACTGGCTGTGACGTCGCATGGGGGCGGTGCGTGCGTTAGTCACGCACCGTCCCGACGTCACCTTCCCACCCGCTGTCAGATCAGAGGGCAGCAGCGCGCATGCAGGTCTACGACTGCGAGGAGGAAGATCCTGTATATATAGCATTAAGGTAAGAAACAATATATGCAGTGTTATATTTGTTTTAAATGTCACAATGGTTTTGCGGCTCCCAGTTTTTCCCCCTTCGGAAACGGGTCCAAGTTGCTCTTTTTGTCTTAAAGGTTGCAGACCCCTGGACTACATACTACTTGCATTCTCTCTTCTCACACATTGACACCAGGCAATATATTTCACAGCAAACCTTACAAATTGTGGAAGTTTTTTTCTTCCAGATTTTCATACCTTCATTGATCTGACAGTGAAAAGAACCCACAGCTTTCCATCTTTAACCATCAGCGGAATAAGAACAGAGGCTTTTGGAAGTGTTATATGAGAAAATCTGTCTCCAACATCAAACTTCTTTAAGTTCAGTATAGCTTTATCTTTCACACTTATTCTAGAACAAGCAAAAAGAGCAAGCATTTCACAAAAACCTGAATTTTCACTCCAGGATTATTGTTAATTTGCATAAGAGGAATATTAAACAAATCTGTTCATATTCTTGCAGATTCAACAAGATAAATATTCTACTAATCCAAATCTCTAGAGGCCCACAATAAGTTTGTATTCGCCTAGAGGCAAACACAACTGGAAAATTGTCTGCAATGTATATATATTGACAGTAATCTAATAACATTTTGTTTAGTAATGTAGCAAGCTTTGAACAAAAAGCATAATGAATAAAGCACAACAACGGGATGGTTATGAGCATGGCCTGTTTTATTCTAAAAGGAGCTATTTCTTACAGTCCATGGCAAATCTTACAACTGCACAAAATAAGAGTTTAATACTGAAACATTTTTGTGGTCTCACTATTGTGCAAATATATCAAAAACTCTGCACACACCATTTAATACATGTTAATGAATATCAAATGACTGTCGCTGCTTGTTCCATACAGACACAGAGATTGAAAATTAACTTGCCTGTTTTGGCATTACCATGACATTTCCTTTTTCATGAGTCATCCCCCGGATCAATCACAGATCATGAACTGTAAAAATCAGAGATAAGCTGCGTTCCGGCACTATGATGGAAAAAAACATGTATCCAAGATCCACATGCATCCTTATAATTTTTTTGCAAGCGATCCCTCAAAACCACCACCATATCATGTGTCATGCTGGTATTCACAGATGTATTTAGTGACTTGGTGGTGGTTTTATTGTGATTCTGTGTAAATCCATGAAGCCTTGGATCAATGTTTTTGACTAATGGTAGGCATGCAAAGGATCAGTCATTTCAACTATGCTGCCTGCCAAGATTTTATTTGAAAGTGGGTGGGGTTTTTTTGGTGGTGGGAAGCCTCCATGTAAAATTATGCAGTCCTATGCAACTAGGATCCATTTTAGTACTACTAGAGACAGGAAAGAATATGTGTGTGCTTTCTTTCTGTCCAGAGGTGGTGCATTTTACAGAGAAGGATGTGACCAGAGGAGATTGTGCCCAAGACACTCTCCACAAAATTCCAAATACATTCATGGGCCAAAATAAAGTGGCCAAACACTTATTTTGGAGTGGCCAACATCAGTTCTTCTTTTCCTTCTTGCAATTATTGGTGCCCTTGACAGAGGCATTTGCCCACAAGGAGTTCTGGGCCAGGCAGGATCCGACATTATCTTGTAGATACCTGTCCCATATGCACTGGTGTATCATTTGTGCTGGCCTATAGCAGATTTTGGGATGCCCCTCCCCGTTGCTTATTTCATATGGTCTTTATTATGTCATCAGGCATTTATGAGCGTTTCACAAGTGCAATAATTTTGTTTGAATAACATTATTATTGTACTCGAAGTAGGGAGTCCACCAGTAATGGAGAAATAAGATTCGGGGAATTCTAATGTTTATTTTGGGTTTGGAGGGACACATCACATCTCCTTTTTAAAAAGTGTTTCAAACTGTGAGCAAATAAGAAAACAGGAACTAGTAACCAAATCCAGCATTGTATGAGATGGTTTGAATAACCCTTTTATTCTGCTGTTTATTGATCATTATTTCACTTTACATTTAAGCTTTTAATATTTTATTGTTTTGTAAACTGCTTGGAAATATTTCCGGTTAGTATATAAATTTACAGAAGAAAAGGCCCACCGGGTAACAGGATTTTAAACATTATGCAAGTCCCAGAGGTCAAAGGAATGTAAGCTTGTAGCTGCACTGCCAAATCTTAAAGCATGTTTATGCAAAAGTAAGTCTCAGTAGGTCATCCTACCTGGTAAACATGCATAGGAATGCAACCTGGTAGTAGCAGGCCCTATGGAATGCAGTGAAGCTTCTGAGTTTGCATTCCTTGAATTGTGCTGTAAGAGATTTACCTTTATTAATTGTATTTTATCATCACTGTACGCCACCCTGGGCCACATTTGGGTGTTGAAGGTGTGTGATTGAAATTTTAGAAATAAAGCAAATTTTAAAGGGAGCAGAAACCTGAAGAGTTATATAACCATTCCAGGTGCACTAAGAAAAAAGCTTGTCTCAGGGTTGCACAAGGCTGAAAAATCCTCAAGGTGGCTCCTCTCAACAGTTTCAGTTCTTTAGGCTGCACTCCAGTTACTTGGAAGAAAGTCCACTGAACTCAATATGACTTTCTTCAGAGTCCCTTGCGTAGGACTGCATTGCTAGTCTCCAACCTCTGCACAGGAAGTAACTTTAAAAATAAGTAAATAAATATTGTTTTAATATTAACAGTACTGTAAACTGCTTCGAAAGGTTGCTTATGCCTTAAAAGTCGTTATGTAAATATTTGCCCAGACAAATGTCGTAATTCTGTCTTGTTACCTTGTGAGGAAAACGTATCAACACCTTAAGTAAATAATAAACAAGTTCCTTGTGGAGGAAGCACACGTGAATACTTTTAAAAAGTAAATAAAGTTTCAATGTGCATGCCACAGGAAAAGCTATGTATGATATAATTAAGGACCTAATCATTCAACATCTTAAAGATTGTTAGTTTTATTCCTTCGCTGACCTTCTTGTATCACTGTGCTTACTTTCAATGAAAGCAAATAATTATTTATGAAGCACCAAAAAATAAAATAAAAGTGTTGGGCATATATAGTACCAAAAGAAAACCCACAGGCACCAACATCAGGCTTTCTTAAAGCAATAATCCAGACTGCCCTAATCCTGCCCCTCTTTATTCACAAAGCAGCACGTCAATCACCCGTCTTGGTGGGAGGGGGACACGTCGTTCACGTTACCTTCCTCGTTTGTCGTCATCAGCAGCCATTTTGCAAAGCCCGAGTCCAAAGTCATCTGTCATTGCCAACAGCTGTGAGCTCCCTCTCGCCTGCTCGCTCCTTCAGAAAGAATGACTCCATTGGCTCTTTGTCGCTGATTGGCAGCTCCGCGCCCCTGTTACGCAAGACAGGGACGGTGCAGCAACGACGCCAAGTTGCTATTGCTGCCTTTGGTGAAAAGTGACGTCAGAGGCAGGGAGGGCGTGCATTGGAAAGAGGGGGAGGCGAAAATGTGAGGAAGCCGGCTTGCTATTGGCTCTGGTGGATACGGAGATTATTGGATGGTTGTGTTGGCGTTGAGTTTATCATCCGCGGCAACTTTTTCTCTTACCAGTGAAGGGGGCGGGCGCAGAAGGCAGGTTTGTTTTCTGCTTTTGCAAATCTTGAGAGAGAGGCTCCTGGGTGGGAAGGAAGGAGAAATGGTTAGCTTAAAATAAAAAGGAGAACACTGTTCTGTAGAAAGCCTTGTGCGGGGAGGTTTTTATTTTTTGCAGTCTGTGTCTGGAGTAACTGAAAACATTGACATTAGCACAGGGGGCTCCCAAACCAGTTCTCCCAAGTTTCACTGCGGCGGTCTAGGGCATATCTTTAAAAATACAATTAAAAATCATATCACATCTAGGACCAGAAACTGTTACAGTGGCAGAAATATTGGAGCTTTTTTTTTAAAAAAAAAGGAAGGCAAAAAAGGCACTTGACAAAATGATAGTGGCTTACAACTATTAATGACACAGAAAGAGAAATAAAATACAAATAAGGAACTATGCGGCACGATCCAGTCATAATTAAGAAATATTAAAACTGCAATCTTAAGCACACTTGCCTGGGCATAGTAGTTCCTCTTAAACACACACGAAGATTTCATTACATTACCAAAAGAATCTTATTGGTAGTGAATCAAAGATGCATACCCTCCAACATTTCTCCGACGAAAATAGGGACATCCTATTCCATAATAACAACTTTACTATCTGGGTGGCTTCCCACATATATAAAAACATTTTAAAAAATTATTATTTTTTAAAACTTCCCTATAATGGGCTAAGGGACGTGGGTGGTGCTGTGGGTTAAACCACAGAACCTAGGACTTGCTGATCAGAAGGTCGCGGTTTGAATCCCCGCGATGGGGTGAGCTCCCGTTGCTCAGTTCCTGCTCCTGCCAACCTAGCAGTTCAAAAACATGTCAAAGTGCATGTAGCTAAATAGGTACCGCTCCGGCGAGAAGGTAAACGGCATTTCCATGCGCTGCTCTGGTTTGCCAGAAGCGGCTTAGTCATACTGGCCACATGACCCGGAAGCTGTCTGCCGGCTCCCTCAGCCAATAAAGCGAGATGAGTGCAGCAACCCCAGAGTCAGTCACGACTGGACCTAATGGTCAGGGGCCCCTTTACCTTTTTATAATGGGCTACCTTAAGATGACTCTGGGGCTGGATAACTCCATACCCTCCAACAGTTCTCTGGGGATGTCTTAAGGAAAAGCAGGAAATTCTGGGATCAAATAAAAAACTGGGATGGCTTCTGTAAATCCGGGACTGTCCTTGGAATATAGGGACACTTGGAGGGTCTGAAGATGTGGTCATCTCTGCTGATGCTGCCCAAATTGCCTTCCAAGGCCGGCCTGCCTGTGAGATGTACCTTGAGCTGCAGAATCCCACAGAGCAGTGCCCCTGTGAGCACCCTGCAGGGTTGTGTGGCAGCTGTGGCTTTTCGCAGCAAGATCTTACTGGAAGCCACTGGTAAGCAAGGCTTTGAGGCTCATGGCAGCAAGGCCTGGTGCTGCTCACCGCTGTGAGGCCCAGACCCTCAAGTTTTTTGGGTGGAGAGGAGGCTGAAGACACCTCAGCCCTATGGAGTTAGTGCCTATGATGGCACTGATGGGTCATTCCAAGGCATTGTGGGGCATTTTTAATTCTGGTCTTGGCACTGATCACTGTTTCCACCTCCATCAAAACATGTAGAAAGAGGTCAATAGAGGGCACTTTGCACATCTCCCCTCCTGCTCCCCCAACCTAGAGCCAACCCTTTGATAATGTAGTGATGACAATACATGAAACTAAACATGATTGCTATATGAAATAAGAGGCCATTCTGAAAAGCCTAGGTACATGTATTTCCTTCTGTGAATCCTTCATTATTCTTGCTTTCCCAACCTCATTTCTTTTCTCCCCTATTTTCTATGAATGGCAAAATGTAGGTTGTAATCGTGGGGGGTTGGAACACCTGCCTTTTCTTGTGATTATGTTGCTTGTAGCACACTAATAATGGTGTGCTATAATAATTATAACAAGAATAGAAAGCTCATTGGTCTGTAATCATGCTACAATGGCTCATGAAGCAGGCCGCAATTGCCAGTAACAATTAAAACAGTGATATTTGCAATACAAGTGATAATGTACAGGAAGGCTATGGGAAACCATGCTGTGATCGTTTTTGTACTGATAGGGTTCTCCAATTAGCTGCAAATTTATTTTATAACCCTGTTTATTCCACAAAACAAGCTGGCTTTTGTGTAACATGTACAGTACAAAATGGATTTAATTAACCTATAACACCAAAACCTGTTCCACAAATAGCTTGTTCAACAATGTGACACTCTAGTTTGCATTGCTACAGAATTTCAGCTGGTCAACTGAATTAAATGCCATTCTTTACCTCTGCAATTACTTAATGCTTCTCTGAAGTGTACAGTTAATGCAACAGAGTTTCAAAGAGAATAATTTGTTTTGCTAGATGGTAGGCATTTGAGGGACACACACACACACACACACACACACACACAATTTTCACCATTAATTTTAAGGAAAATAAAATGCATCTTCATTATTTATTGGTTTGTTTTTGGAAATTGTTATGTCTTCTGTATTTTTAAGGTCCTGTTTCTATTCCTGTATCTTCTCCTGGTCCATTATTCCAGCTAATGAAATAATCAGACTTTATATCTCTTTTGGCTCTGTCATTCAGAATGCAGAAGTGCTTCAGGAAGAGGAAAAACACCATTTTATAATACATTTTTACCAGTAGTAATCTGTGCCTACATTATGTGATGTTAAATAATTAAGTACCCAAGTCTTCTTGAGGTTTCTCTTGTTGTGTCTGCTGGGCCTTAGCTGCCTCTTCAGCTTCTGACAGCTCCTCTTAGTCTTCTCCCTTTGACCACTCATTGTCACCCCACCAGCTACCCCCTGGCTTTGAGCCTTCTTCCCTAGCTCGTTCCTCCCACCATTCCTTTGAGGCCAAACAGCAGAAGCCAACAGAAATGTTGGGAGACTGAGCACAGGTTCCCCATTCCCAGTGTTTTGCTAATAATCAACTTCAGCAGCACATATTCTCTTTCAAGAACCAGTGTTGTGCAGTGGTTAGAGCAATGATAGCCAATGTCGTGCCCACCAGTTCCCAACAGTCCCAGTGAGCATGGCCAATAGTTAGGAAAGAGAGTTAGTTGTAGTCCACAAGATCTGGAGGGTAATACATTGGCCACTCCAGGGTTAGAGTGTTTTACTAGGACTGGGAAGACTAAGGTTCAAAACTCTATTTAACCATTAAACTTACTTGGTGATCCCGAGTTGGTCAGTATCTCACAGTCAGACCTACCTTGTATGGTTGCTGTGAGCATAAAACAAGGAGGAAAGAACCATTCGTGCTCCCTTGAGCTCCCTTAGAGGAATATAAACACAATAAAGAAACAAACAGTATTTAATTAATTCACTTGCATGTGTGTGTGTGTGCGTGCGTGCGCACAGACAGTGCCTCCTGAATGCTTAGGGGGGGGGGAATTGTCATCGCGCCACTCCTTGGTATGTGGAGTACCTCAGGGTGCGATACTCTCCCCGATGCTTTTCAACATCTTTATGCGCCCCCTCGCCCAGCTTGTTCGGAGTTTTGGGCTGGGTTGCCATCAGTATGACACCCAACTCTATCTGTTGATGGATGGCCATCCTGACTCGGCCCCAGACACACTGACCAGATGTTTGGAAGCCGTGGCTGGATGGTTACGTGGGAGCCGGTTGAAGCTAAATCCTTCGAAGACAGAGGTCCTGTGGCTGAGACGGGGCGATATGGGATTGGGGGGGCAACTCCCATCTCTTGCGGGGGCGCAATTAGTGCCAGCACCGTCCGTTAAGAGTTTGGGTGTAATCTTAGACACCTCCCTTTCCATGGAGGCGCAGATTGCGGCATTTTTCCATCTCCGCCAAGCTAAGCAGTTGGCTCCTTACCTCTCTCGCCCTGACCTAGCCACTGTGATCCACGCGACGGTCACCTCCAGACTTGATTATTGTAACTCGCTCTACGTGGGGCTGCCCTTGAGACTGACCCAGAAACTCCAGCGGGTGCAGAATGCTGCAGCGAGACTCCTTACGAGGTCTTCGCTGCGAGATCACATTCACCCGGTGCTATACCAGCTGCACTGGCTCCCGGTGGAGTACAGGATCAGGTTTAAGGTGCTGGTTTTAACCTTTAAAGCCCTATACGGCTTAGGACCCTCGTACCTACGGGACCGCCTCTCCTGGTATGCCCCACAGAGAAACTTATGGTCCTCAAATAAAAACATCTTGAAGGTCCCAGGCCACACAGAAGTTAGGCTGGCCTCAACGAGAGCCAGGGCTTTTTCGGCTGTGGCTCTGATCTGGTGGAACACTCTGTCACAAGAGACCAGGGCCCTGCGGGACTTGACATCTTTCCGCAGGGCCTGCAAGACAGAGCTGTTCCACCAGGCCTTTGGCAAGGGCACAGCCTGACTCCCTCCCTCGGCAATCTTCGCGGAGCTCTGGCCCAATGGCTGCCAGTGGCTTGAATTAATTAATTTTAGAATGAATGGTTTTAGAGTGTTGTTTATGCTGTACTTTTGTATTGTTTTATTGTTGTTAGCCGCCCTGAGCCCAGCTTCGGCTGGGGAGGGCGGGATATAAATAAAATTTATTATTATTATTATTATTATTATTATTATTATTATTATTATAGAAAGAAAAACACCTTGCACTAAAATGAATGTAGACCAATTCACTGAGGTTGTCAGTAGCTATTACGATGGTGGTTATTTGTGCATGTTAAATGCACAGATAATTATAAATAAAGTAAGGCTGCAATCCTATGCACATTTACATGAGAGGATCTGTCACTGAACACTGGGGCTTACTTCTGAGTAGGCCTACCTATCATTTTGCATGTAAGCAAGTAGGTCATGAGATGCTGCTTCCTGGCTTATTCTCTTGGGGTTGAAGCCCCACTCAGCATGGCCAGTGGTAATGAATGATGGGAGCTGTAGTCCAATGGAGGGCACCAGGTTAGAGAAGGCTAAACTGGAAACTTTAGGTGTTGTTTTGTAGCTTTCTGATCTCATAATATAATTTAAACTCTGCCTCCAATACCATGCTTTCCAAAGCCACGTTTAAGTTATATTTTACATCACCGCCAATAGTCAAGACTGCATGAAAAGTGGCTGATTAACGAACCTTTCATCTTTTTGGATGTTAAATTCAATTTGCTGAACTGAAAATTATTTTTCATTTGTAATGGTCTCCCACTTGTGCAGTAGCATAGCTGGCTTAGCAACGGGGACCATTAAAATAAAAGCTTGGCAGCCCCTGATCATTCATCATAAAGGAATTCCAAGGCAGCTTAATTTGTTAATCTGTCTGTTCTTGGAAAATGCCTCTGCCAACTGGGAAATACTGCTGTCGGTCTAGATGCTTGGAAATAAGTCAGATGGTGAGTGCTATGTAAACAAATGGGTGTGCTGATAGGGAAACCTGCAACTTTGGGAGCCAGTTTAGGGCCAGACTGGGATGGAATGCCATTCAAAAAAATCATTTTCTTTAATAAGTAAGGAATACAGCATCCCATTCTGGATTATCATGCTGATGTGGTGCATTGGAGACATTAACCCTTTGCTCTCCTATAATGGGGTCCCAATGCAGTACCTACTTTTACCTTGGGAGCAAAGCTTCCATTTGTGAGAATGAGAGCTGTTATTCCAATGCAAATAGCTCCTGTACAGGCTGATCTGAACTGGTACTTTTCATAGGAAAGAGCTAAAGCAGAAGTGGAGAACCTTTGGCCCTTTGGCTGCTGCTGGACCTCACCTCCTTTCATCCCTTTTCATTGGCTATGCCGACAGAGGCTGATGGGAGTTGGAGTCCAACAACCTCGGGAAGGCCCATCCCTGAGTTAAAGCATCCCCACTCCTTATCAGATTTGTGATCAAAATAATCTTACTGCCTGATGATGAAAGCCATTTGTGCAACAGCCATCTGGTCACATAGCTAGTTTGGTCCTTAGTTCTTGGCTTAAAACACCCCACTTGCTTTAGGCTTGGTGTATTGCCATTCCCTTTCCTGGCTTGTTTCAATCACATGTTTTTGTTCTTACTTAATCTTTTGTACCACAAGTGAACACTTTGTCACACAGTTTCTTGGGCAAAATGCCAGTATGTAACCCAATAAGCTTGAAATGTTTTTAGGTTTGCAGCAAGGATGGGAACTATTTTTTTTCCAGTTTGAGGGCCTCTAGGTGGGGGCAAGGTAGAGATATAAGCATGTGATGCACGGAACCAGATGCAAAAGTGAATGGGTCAGTGTTAAAAGTGGACAGAGCAATAGGTGTAACCTTTGGGCTGTAGGCTACAATCAATCCAGGCAAGTCAGAGGCATTATCAGAGTTCAAGGACACATTCTCATCAGGCAAAACCACTCATGGAACATTGGAGAAGGGCCTATGAGAAGAGTGCCAAAAAAGCCACATTTGACCCCTGTGCCTGAGTGGTTCCACCCATAGTCTTTTTATATATTGCATCTACACCTCACCTATCCTCTAAGGAGCGCATGGTTCAGTCCTCTTCCACCACCTCATACCAACCCTGTGAGGTAGGATAGGCTTAGAGACTGTGCCTGGCTCAAAGTCACCCAGTGTGTGTCATGGCTGAGTGGGAATTCGAACACTGTTCTCCCAGGTCCTAGTCCAGCACATAGCTGTCAACTTTTCCCTTTTCTTGCGAGGAATCCTATTTGGAATAAGGGAATTTTCCTTAAAAAAAGGGAAATGTTGACACCTATGGTCCAGCACTCTAACCACTACAGTGTAAAAAACAGATGGAAAAATAGCGCTTAACCTCCCCTTCCTGAACCTATTTGCCAATTAACTTGAAATTTCAAAATTCATGGTTTTGGGAGCAAATATGCAAAAGATCAAGTCTCCATAGCAACATGCTGCAACTCTGTCTAGCTTCCTAAGAAAGATTTTGTAGGATAGTTAATGATAAATAGTGCAGAAACCCATTATAACAGAACAACCTACTTAAATAGCCGGCACAGGGAGCAATTAAAACATTTTAAATCACAAGCTGGCAACTCCAAGAGTTACTTCGTTAATTCAGAACAATCAGACCCAGCAGCTGCTGCTGATACTACAGCAGAGTTTTAATTTTTTTTCTTAACACTGAATGAAATATGCATACAATATACAAAAGATTTTTTTTTAAAAAAAATCTATGCTCTTAAAAAAAAATTCAGGCACAATTTTAAGGTCTTTTACACAGTTGTCCCCTGATGATCATATAATCATGGAAGGGATCCAAGGGTCATCTAGTCCAACCCCACACAGGAATCCGATATAAACTTATTAATTTTAAGGAAACTCTCATAATCAGGAAGCAAAATACAATCCATCACTTGTTTGAAAGCCACCTAGAGAAACCTCCCCATCTGTTTTTTTTTTAATTTATTAAATGTATATCCAACCAGAAGCCATAACCACACTCCAACCTGTGCTGACTGAGAGGCTTGTCTTTGTAGCTGCAATCTACCTTGCTCTGTTTTAAGCTTATGACCTGCCTCCCCCACCCCTGTCAGCACTTCCTTCATCTTTGCAACAGGCATTGCCTCCATCTCTGTGGTTTATTGACACCACAATGCCATGTTATTCAATTAGATTATCCATAAAGAAAATTGGCATCATTGCAGCTGTAACCAATCAGCACAGCTGAGTACAGAAAGAGAGGGAGATGTAAATAGGAAGTGCATTAATCAAATTGTTAAGCAGTAGGATTTTGAGCAAATATATGCCATGTGTATGTACATGGAAATCTTATGTGCGCAATCGCTGTAGTTCTTTTGTGCATCCTATTTTTATGTCCTTTTCAAGAGCAAGCTGTAAAAAAATAAAATAAAATTATGAACTGTATGCCGGCGTGAATTAACCATTAACCATGAGGGACTGCAAGTTATGGAGTATGATCCCAACCATTTTGAAATGGAGAATTTTAAAAAAAGTAGTTTTCAGCTTCTCTAGGGGACTGGATTCAGGGCAACTTGGTTAGAGAGACAGAGGGGAAAATGTATTGAGTGTAGTTGTTTGTTTTCGTAGGTGTTAAAATAAATCATATGTTCAGATCATAGACTTTTGCAAAAGCAGGTTTTAACTAAATCAGCACCTCTCTTGTTTCGTAATAAAATGAGAGCCCCACTTTCTTCCCGTAACAAGCATTCTAAAATATAGGGGGAATGTAAACTAGTAACTAAATGGCTGTGATACAATATTAATACTACATAGTTCCACTAGAGGGGAGCCTTCATCCTAGTAGATCACTTACCAAAGGAATCTGTAGCACTATTTTCGTAGCTTTCCCCCCACTCAGGCTAGAAACTTACTTTTTAAATTTAAATAAGCCAACTTTCTTTGAATGTTCATTTCTGCCCGGAGAACCAGCTCCTGCAGTTGTCTGGTATAATTGCAAAACACATAATCCTTACTAAATAATATGCCATACTCAATAACAACAACGAAGTCAATATATATTGCACCTGATTGAAAATGGGATATGCTACCAGCCAGCATGTATTCCTTTACTTTTTACAAAGAAGCCGCTTAGCTAAAGTGTGGGCCACATTTGCAAAGGAAAAATGTACTGGTTGTTTTGGGTATGTGTAAGCCAAAGGCACATAGGGAAGTGTTGTACCAGTTTGCATAGCCTTCCAAACATTGCTGATCAATTCACTGACCATGTTATAACATATTCTTTATCAGTCTTCTTCAATCCCCTCTGTAGGAAACAGTTAGTGGTATTTTAGTATTGGATTTACCTGTTTGGTAAATTTTGACTTGGGATTTTTTTTGCTGTTGTTGCATTACTTTCTTATTATGGTTTTGATTGTTTTACTGTGCTAAATAACCTTTCATTTTATATTAGAGGCCATCAAGCTGTGAATCCTGCAAGACTGTGCTCTATGTTCTGTCTGGTTCATTTCCCCTGGCCTGGGACGATGGGAACCTCACCAACTACATCTGCAAAAGCCACCTGACATTCTGACAAGGAGTCCTGCAGCCAAGAGGGTGGGCACTTATCTGATTTTTAATTCTCTGTGAACCATGTAGAAACCTATTTTGACATTACGTGGTGTATAAACTTAATTGTGGTCATCATCAAATATTGAACCCTATGAGCTGCTAGGTGAGATACATTTATGAATAAACAAAGACCAATTTCATAGTAATTGTGGTGAATTGATTATTAACCAATATATCATTATTCTTTTGTTACATTCAGTATAATGTTAAGGTATATAATTTTATTATTTTTTTGCAGTGAACAGTTAGAAATTAAAGTAAAAATGAAATTGAAAAGGCAAACGAGAGGATCCTTGTAGCCTTTGGAGAGGAACACTCTATATGATAGTCAATAGGTAAGCCAAGCTATGCTTTGTTCAATCAGTAAATAAGCCAAGTTACCACAATGTAACCCATTTGTGAACTATGGGCTCCAAATACAGTACTGAACATTCCACCCAGGCGAGAGAGACTCACATAGAGGCCGGTTACATCTTTACACTCTTGGAGCAATGGGTGGTCCAGGAAGTGGGCCCACTTTGCCATTGGACAGCTGAACTCATCATTACTGCAGCAATGTTTAATAAGACTTATTTATTGAACAATGGTTTTATCTCAGTATGTGATCACAGCTGTTTTATTTTAGCTATACAGCAGCACAGGCAATTAAAACCATATTGCTTCTTGGCTATTTATTTTCATGAAGTCGTTCTCCATCCATTGTCATGAAAGAATTCTTTGTGAATTGCAAAGGGGGCGGGGAGGACGAGTAGGAGGGCAGATCACTTATAATGTAGATGTCTATTTCTCTTTCAAATTGCCTGCAGAGGGCTAATATTCAGCTGTGAGACATATAAATAATCATGTCAAGGAAAACCTCAAAGAACCTGATTATATTTCAAACAGTTCCAACTCTGTTGCCCTCAGTGCCCTCTTCTGAACAGCCATATAGCCCTGGAAAGTGAAATGAATGCTACCATACGCTAGGCTTGGAACCTTTAATTAGTAGATTAATTGACAAAAGCTTTAGTTGACTTACCAGCAGGAGGCAATTTTAATTGGGGAGATCAGTTTTAATTGGCGGAGCTGTGTATTTATGACATGCTTAATTTTTTGAAGGGTTTTTTTTTGCCATGCTTTAGTTATTGAGGTTATTATTTCTGGTTCCAGAAGGCATTTCCTCTGATGGACTTCCTCTAGTGGAAAGTGGAAATCCATATCTTGGTGGAAACGTGAAATATAGGCTGATAGACCCTTTAAATATCCCCCTTTAAAGTTTCTTCCAAATTCCCATAGTAGCCTTAGCATGGAAGGAGACCACATTTGGTAAGTTAAAAATGGTTTACTTACAAACATTTCAAAAGTCACATTCATGTGCTTTTCCGTATAGCAGTTAGAAAACACAGGCAATGAAACTTAGGTTCCAAAGTGGTAAATGTTTCTAAATTATTTGCATAGAAACACAAAGATGGCTTGCTTAAGCCATGTGGTCTAAGGTTGGAACATCCAGCTTAGACCTCCTTACTGGTAGGGTTTACATGGTGGAATGGAAAGATCAAAGGCTGGGTAACCCTTCCTCCCAAGGCGAGTGAGTGACCTAGCTAAGGCTGGCATGACAGCTTACTCCATTGTATTAACCCCTTCATCCATTAATTAGAGTTAAGCATGTTGGTTATATGAGGCTGATTATCTCACAGAAGCTTGCTCAGTTAGTGGAAAGGAACCTTTAGAGAATTTCTTTTCCCCCTAAATGTTTTTCACAGAAGCCCTTTGAGACATTCATAACCCATGGATAATAAGTACACCCATGTGGAGGAAAGGCAGGCTGTCCCCTGGTCTTCATTCATTAATTGGGGGGGGGGGAAATCTAGAGAGCCATTATGTGTTGCAGAGCTATCCTAACTACAGGAAATAACATCCATTCCAAACTCCATTCAGGAGCCTCTGGGAGGCACTCTTGCCAGTTGATCTGGCAGGTGAGAGTGTGGGCCTGAGTTTTGAGGTTTAAGGCCTAGGTAACATGATCAGGCTGAACAGGATTTGAAATAGGTGTAAGTCTTGCCCCATCCCACCCCTTGAGTGTCCCTTCTTGGAGGATTTACAACTGTGTGTCTCCAGCTTAGCCAGGGTAACGGACTTACACTAGTGTAGTCTTGGCTGAACGCCATCTTAGCCAGGAAAGCCCAAGAATTGCCAAATCCAAACTTTTTCCTCCTGGCAGATCTTCGGTTTGGATTGTGCTGTTAGTGAGGTTTCTGGCAGTGTGGAGTGAGCTTTCTTCATGATGTTCTTCTTCAGACATCCTAAGGAACTCAAGTAGGCTGGATGTGGAGTGGGCCAACATGCATATTCAATACCAATGGATTTGGGACACTTGAGAAGGGCTTCTTTTTACAAAAATAAATTTGGAATACTGTACACACATACACATTCATTTACATAACGGTAGTTACACCAGATATATGTACAACATAAATGCATTTCTTTTGCATTGAAATGAATGGGATGAAATAACATAATGACAACATAATTTATCAGATAGGGTTGTGGTATATATGTGTGAGATCACCACTCCACAGAAAATGATTCTTAGGCCCTATTCACTTTTGTAAGACTGTGCTTTTATTCACATTTCATGATTTTTAAACTGAGAAATTATAATAATGAGTATAATCATGTTTTTTATGGTAGCATTTCAAGGAACCCACCAAAAACCAGGGCTGGTGCAAGACATTTGGCTGCCTGAGGCAAATAAAAAGATGGCTTCCTTGCCCAATTCCAGGTGCAGAAGCTGATTAGACTGGCAGTTGAACTGTTACTTCAGCACTGGCAACTGAATTATATCCTTTGGTGGATATGAGGCCAAAAGGATAGTTATGGGGGGGGGGTCCAAGATATGTGTGGGACACACAGCTCTGATCTGTAGCAGAGGAGAATGGCCAGAGGTCTCAGAAAAAATGGCTGGGTGGCTGCCACCATTGTCCCCCTTCAAACATGTGCTGCCTGAGGTGATTGCCTCACTCTGCCCAACAGTAGGGCCAGCTCTACAACAAACAAAGGTATTTGAAGGCTTTCAGTTCTGTTCTGCCCCATTACATGTGTATAGTGAAAAACTACTGTTGTCTTCAAGGGCAATTTGTTTAAGTTCACAAACATGAACTATCCCAAAGTAAATATAGCTTTGAATGCCTTAAGGTATCTATAACTAATAACACAAGTAAGCACCCCAGCTTGTTTGACTTTTGAAAATTGGAACCTTGAAAGAGCTAATCCTTTTGGACACATGAGAACAGAATCAATATTTCCCAATTTTGTACATCTGTTTTAATCCAGAATAATGGTGTTCTTCTTTTGTTTCCTCTGACCTGTGTCCCAAAACAAACATTATTTTAGTTTATTTTTTGCCATCTCAAAAAACAAAACTCCATACAGATTATTCATTACTCTTGACAGCTACTATTGAGTCAAGACAGAAAGTTGGAAAAGATATTTTGCTGGAGGCTCTTTGCATTTAATCTTGGATTACTTTCAACCAAGTGCTTCAGTATTAATAAAATAATTTCAGCTTTTCATGGAACCTCTTTAAGGCAGTCTTAAAAAGAATCATAACCCTCCAAAGACATTGAGTTTCTAGCTCCCATAGGAGACTTTCTTCCACCCCCACCCCCCAGGCATTAAAAAAAGCTTTGCCAAAAAAGCAAATTATTGTCAAAGGTGGTGGTGGAGAAAGCTTTTCAGCCCAAAGGTCATATTCCTTCATGGATAGGGATTGGATAGACATACAATTTTGTTTGTATTTAATGAGAAACCACCTAATTCACACTTCTTGAACCAAAATATGGACCAAAATACAGCTATACTTCAAAATTTGTAATTATCCCAATTCTGTGATGAGGTTCTCAAACCAATTTTTAAAAAAATGCATATATTAGTGAACATAAGTTACAAAAAAACATTACAACAGGGGGAAATTCTGGGAAGAAATGTGTGCATTAGCTAAAATGTTATGCAAATCTCTATTTATTAGGAGAAATGCTCCCCATAATACTAACAATTATTCTTGAGTATATTTTTTTAAAGACCTATCACAAATTGATGAAGAAATGTGAAGAACTGGATTTAAGACTGAGGCAACTGAGAAGCTGATAGAAGAAAAACTGACATATTTGTCCATCCCTACTCACAGGCAACCTCCCAGGAGTGCATGCCAATGGTGGGCAGTGCCCAAGGCAAGAGTTTGCAGTGCAATGTTACTCTTACCATTATCCAGTAGGCTACATTCTGGCCAAACAAATGTAGAAGTTTCTGCTGCCCACTCTATTCTTGATCCAGGAAACCAGAGCTAATACTAGTTTGGGTAAACAACCCAATGAGGCAAAATCACTTGAGGGAGGGTGCAGATCAGGGCCAGTGAAGTGTGTGGCCTGAAGAGGATTGGACAGAGATATCTGAAGGGCCATACTTGCCTCCTGGGCCTAAAGTTTCTCAACCCTGGCCAAGAAAGCTAAACACATTAGTTGCTGATAAGGAAGCAAAAGCCATGTTTCCTTTCTACTCCTGTTTTGCACACAAAACCTATAGAAAAAGAAAAAAAGCAGGGTCATACAAGGCTTGACTTTCTGGTAAAAATGGAAAACTGCTTATTGGCCATGAATCTCTATGGGCTCCAAGTGGCAACATCCAATCCCCTGGAATCTTTACAGTAGAAACATTCCAGGCTTCATGGAAGGAGTTGTCACTCAGATGGTAGAGCGCATGATCTGCATGCAGGAGGACCAAGGTTCAGTCCATGGCATCTCCTCTTGAAAGGATATTGGGGACCAATGTGGGAAAGACACATTGTCAATCACAGTAGAAGATACTTTGCTGGGTTGACCAATGGTAAGGCTTAGCAAAGGTGCAACTGTTAGTATATAAAGCTCTTAACAACTTTGGACCAGTTTACCTGTGAGATTGCCTTATCCCACATAGTCCCACTTGACCACTTTGATCTGTAGAACTGGAACTGTTACAGGTGGTGGTGACTGGGCCACCTTCTAGAGAACTGAATGACCCGTGAGAACAGAAATGTTGCCTAACCATGTTCAAAAAGAAGGAGGAAAAGGCAACATCATTAGCAAAATAAGAGAAGAATTCTACATCAAATAGCACTATAAAGCCTTTTAAT